CGTTGCAATTATTCAATCTTCGGTTTTGATCGTTATCGTAAAGATGTTGGTGTAACTGGTAATTGAATGATCAATAACTCTATTTGTGAAGAATTCTCCAAACGGACGAATAACTTATATTACACTCAGAAACAATTTGGTGAATGGTGAATTCAACATAGGCCAACACATCTACTTCTTATCCTTCACTGACAATGAAGTTATTGGCATTTTCTTCTGGTTCATTTCACATTTCTCTTTTCAGTTTTGGAAAATAATGCCGAGTGGGATGGCGACGATTAGGGAACCTCTGAGCATAAATTCGAGCTGCAATATTTGCATTCTTTTTTGTTTTTCCTTGAATTAGCAACATGTCAGTTTTCCCCTTTCTAGTGTAATTTGCCATATCTAATTATAAACTATATAACAAATACATTTTAAAAGTGACATCATATTCATTAGCCTATTTGTATAGGTAGTCCTAGCAACAGCTTCAATTGTTTGTCACGGATAACTAGAATAACAGAACTTAGTGCATACGACGGAATACCTACCTATTGTTTGTTATTAGGTATGATCGTTTCTTGCAATTATCCAGAAAAATAAAGAAAATAAAGTGAAAGTGTGTGGCATCAAATTATTCCTAAGAAAATTATCTTTCACAAAAAGCCAACAAGCCACATCCTTTCCATTTAATAAAATCAAGTTGACTGGAAAAATTCATATTTGCGACTGCGAAATAATTCTTGACACAACTGTGAAGTCATAAGCCTTAAAGTCGTAGTTTTTCCATGTTACTTGATCAAGAATGAAGCGATTTACAAGATCCACGGCAGTCTAGATCAAAAAATATAAATTGGAATAAAATTAATTTTATTTGTCAAATATTGACAAGTGAAGTATTGCTGGATTTAGAATGTCATTCTCGATAGAAATAAGTGAAAATATATAGGATGTCCATTTTAAAAATAGCAAATTGGCGTCATTTCCGGTCAAACTGGAAGTACGGCAAAGCAAGTAAATATTTCAAAAAATGTAAATTGAACCATAATACACAATCACCAAATTAAGTTTTTTTTTCTCCAATAATAAAAAAGTTATAGGGGTGAGGCACCTCAGAGAATCATCCAGAATACGGTCAATAATTGAAAATTGAAAGTCATTTTATATATTCATAATAATATCCTTAGTGCATTTAGTACCTGTATTGTAGCAAATTCATCCTGTATGTGGTCATTCCTACCCACTATCGGGATGTAAGACTGATTAGTATACGACTAGATGCCTTTACCTAACTATTCATCATTTCGTCTGTAAGTGATAGCCGTAGAAATCGAAGGAAAATTATAATCCTCTGGACGAAACTGTCTGAATTTGTTACACAACTTACGAATAGTGTGCCTGGTTTTAGGTGAGTTTCAGATACCATGATGAATCATCCAGGTTTTAGTTTTATAATTCGACAAAAGGCTTATAGCTGACAGCAGAAAATTCAACGGACATCTAATGAAATTGGTTATCACTAATTCTACCCTAATTTTCGAACTAATCCTGTTACACCTGGCGCCCAACGCGGGGCATTATAAAGCAAATGGCCACAATTCAATGTGTAGACGCGTACATATTGTTGGTTTTGAAAGCAATACTCACACCTTTGTTGTGCATAAAATCTGAAAGATTTGTAATGAGTTGGCCTAAGTAGGTTAAGGTTCCATAAGTTTTATCCTCTTCTTTTCGAATTGGGTAAACTTTTTTCAAAGCTTGGCTGAATATCTTTTTTGGTAATGAAAGATGTATTAGACTGCTATCGTTATCTTTGTTGACGGCTATTCGTTTTATTATGTTCAGTTCTTTATTGAAAGTCGCCTCTCACAAGATCAGATTTATCAGTATGTGAATCATATTGTTGAAAGCTGCTACATTGTGCTGATATCAAATCTCCACTTCGAGTGAAAGATTTTGAACAAATCTCACATTGAAACGGTTTCTCTCCGGTATGTGTCCTTTCATGTATTGTCAGATAACAGCTTTGAGTAAAAAATCTTGGACACATCGTACACCGAAACAGTTTCTCTCCAGAATGAATTCTTTCGTGAATTTTCAAATCGCCACTTCGAGTAAAAGATTCCGAACAAGTTTTACACTGGAAAGGCCTCTCATCAGTATGACCCATTTCGTGAATTTTCAATTCATGACTTCTAGTGAAAGATTTGCTGCAAATTTTACAACGAAACGGCCTTTCTCCAGTATGTCTCCTTTCGTGGTTCTTCAAAGTGCTACTCTGAGCGAATGACATCGGACAGAAATTACAATGGAATGGTTTCTCTCCAGTATGAACTCGTAGGTGAATTCTCAGTACATTAGACTTAGCGAAGTACTTCAAACAAATATCACACCTGAATGATCCCCCACCAGGGAGACTCTTCAAGTTCGATTGTGTTTCACGATCCAAAAGAAGCGGGTCCACATCCTGGGTTGAGTCCTGAGCTGGAATATTGTAAGAGAAGTACTCTTCATTCTTAATCCCATACTTGAGATCTTCGTAAACAATGTCGATTTCATCTTCCATCTTCATTTGTCCGTGATCACCTTGGAATTTGGTGTCATTCATTGAGTTGAGGTAGGTAGAGGTGTCAGTACCAAACATGTCTGCTCCTTGTCTAGCAGGTTCCGAAAAAAATGGCTTCACATCTTGGTTCAAGTCTTCACCACGCATATAGTTTGATAGGTTTTCTTTATTATCAACCTCACACTTGAGATCTTCGTAAAAAATATCGTTATCATCTACCATCTTCATTCGCCTATGATCGCCAATGCTTTTGTTATAAACGTCCCCATCCATTGAGTTCAAGTTGTTAATGAATTCAGTTGGAAACATTCCAGCATCTTGTGGTTCAGTTTTCACAGAATTTGATACGAGAGACATTTTCTAATAGTTTAGATAAATTTCTCAAAGAAAATTTTCCAAAACACTCAATCACCTACGAAAATGTAAACAGAATTACGTTTATAAAGGTACTACGTTCACAACGATTAATCAGAACTGACTTTCTTTACGACCTGGTCCTCTATATATATTAAAATGAATCGAATCTGAATTGTCATTACCACCAATCAGAAATGAGCCCATTTACAGGTAGAGTACTTAAATGATTTCTGAGAAGTACCAATATTCACTTAATTTATGGTGATTTAATGACATTTCAGTTAACCACAGGCAAATCTTTAATGAAATCATTATTTTGATTTCTAAGGAACTGTAGATATCTTTCCGCAGTCATATGCCCGGGCAGCAATTGAAACCAAATCGTACTTAAAAATTTCCTTCTTGCATCAGATGTAAATTTGTTTGAACATACCGAAGTTGGTGAATCGGGTTTCATCTGAATAAATAATTTTAAATGGAAAACGTACATCTTCTCTGTATTCAGTCAAATCCCGTTGCAATTATTCAATCTTCGGTTATGATCGTTATCGGAAAGATGTTGGTGTAGTTGGTACTTGAATGATCGATAACTATATTTCTGAAGAATTCTCCAAACGGACGAATAACTTATATCACACTCAGAAACAATTTGGTGAATGGTGAATTCAACATTGGCCAACACATCTACTTCTTTTTCGTCACTGACAATGAAGTTATTGGCATTTTTCTTTCCAGTTTTGGAAAATAATGCCTAGTGGGATGGCGACGATTAGGGAACCTCTGATATTTCTTTTTTCCACTTTCAAATCGCAATTTTGAGTATAAGACTTTCAACAGATTCACTCCTAGCTTTTCCCCTAAAGAATCCTTTCATGAACTTTCAGGATTTTACTATTCCATACTAATTTTTTTTTCTATTACGATTTTTGGTGTGAATTGTGTAACAGTATCTGGAAGAAACTGTTCCACACCTGAAATCATGTCTTCATCTCACAGATCGTTGGACAAGTTTCTCTTATCTATGATCTCAGTTTCAACTTCTTNCTCACAGATCGTTGGACAAGTTTCTCTAATCTATGATCTCAGTTTCAACTTCTTCGTAGAAAATGGCGATGTCATTGTCACTTTCTATTACTTTTTGTTCACCAGACGTGTTGTTATCATCTTTGTAATCCATAGAGCATGATATAATGGAAAAATCATTGTTGGACATTTTACTGAATTCCATTCAAGAATAACCTCTTTTCAAGTGGTCTTTCGTTTATATGGAACTGAATTGAATAGTGATAGACATTAACTCAAATTCTGAGGAGTAAATCATAACCGACCAAGATGGCGTTTGGCTGTATAAACTCAACCGATAAGCATGGATAAATAATCAGATTTGGCGGCGCTTTTGCCATTATTTCAACGGAACTGAACAGTTACCTTTACAAAGGTAATTGTCATTCTGACAATGAAAATGTTTGAAATTTACAATGGATAAACGGAACATTTTTATAAAAAAAAGACATATCGGGTTCATACATCAAATCATCTTTTGATAACAACAATTTTTTCCTTCATACAACTGCATGAAGTTTTTACTGAAATACCTCATTTTTCCACATCGTGAAGGATGAAAATTTTCCTCTAAAAACCTAAAAGTACCTCTTTTACTTTTATATTGATATGGTTATATTTTTCACATGATTATTATGATATACTATTGAATCATTTTCTTGTTTCAATTCCAATTTATGATAAAATTTCATTTCATTTTTCTTCCACATTCGTTACCGTGATTAACTAGTTTTCGTATCATCAAGTTTATTCGTCCTTCTAAACGTAGTTAATATCTTTCATAACAGATGGTGCTAACCACTGTCATGCCACTTCGTTTTCAGAAAATCATTTTCTATATCAGAACAATTCCCATCATCGCTGTCCATTTGGTCTCCTGGACCCTACTGACCGTCGGACGAAGACGTCACGTCATCTGGAAATCATGTACTTAGAGCCTTATGGGGCTCCGAGGAGCAATAAGTCTGACTATGAGAGAACGATATTCTAAATAGATACATATCATCCTCAGATACATATCATTCTCAGTAAAATTAAAAAAGGATTCAATAGTTATTTCATAAATGTAAACAAGAAAATAGAGAGGAAAATAATGATCAATGAAAATGTTCCCCCATCAAGGCCAAGCGTTCTATAATACATTATATTTTCTTGACCCAAATGAAATAATGAACATCATTATTTCATGACTTAAGATATTTTCTTTTAGTCCAAGATATATCTTGATGAGTAGTTAGATTATTGAACTTTCGAATCCTCTCAAAATTTCAGAAGGAATACCAAATTATTCGTCATCCTACAATTGGAATTATTCCCGCTAAGTTGAGCAAATAGATAGTGACTCTCTCCAGTTTGGTATTCTCAATTGAAAATATTGAATAACTTATTACGGGATTCGACCACCTACAGACCGATAGTAGCTACATTTTCCTTTATCCCATCGTGACATTGTCTGATATAAAAAGTGAAAAATCCATGTCAATGAAGTTCCAAGCAATAGTCGAAAGTAAAGAAATAAAAGATGCGAAAAAATATAATGAAACAGTATTATCATTGATAACATACTTTATAGGTGAGTTAATAACTAAATACTGGAACGGAATCACCATCAGAAATGACATGGGTCAAACCTTCACCACTTGAATGATCTGTCTCCAGTATGTTTTCTTTCATGAATTTTCAAGGTACCACTTCGAGCGAAAGATTTCTGGCAGACTGTACATCGAAACGGTTTTTCTCCGGTATGAATTCTTTTATGAACTGTCAAATCTCCACTTCGAGTGAAAGATTTTGAACAAACCTCACACTGAAACGGTTTCTCTCCGGTATGTGTCCTTTCATGAATTGTCAGATAACAGCTTTGAGTAAAAAATCTTGGACACATCGTACACCGAAACAGTTTCCCTCCAGAATGAATTCTTTCGTGAATTTTCAAATCGCCACTTCGAGTAAAAGATTCCGAACAGGTTTGACACTGGAAAGGCCTCTCATCAGTATGACTCATTTCGTGAATCTTCAATACATGACTTCTAGTGAAAGATTTGCTGCAAATTTCACAACGAAACGGTCTTTCTCCAGTATGTCTCCTTTCGTGATTCTTCAAAGTACCACTCTGAGCGAATGACATCGGGCAGAAATTACAATGGAATGGTTTCTCTCCAGTATGAACTCGTAGGTGAATTCTCAGTACATTAGACTTAGCGAAGTACTTCAAACAAATATCACACCTGAATGATCCCCCACCAGGAAGACTCTTTAGGTTCGATTGTGTAGCAGGATCCAAAAGAAGTGGGTCAACATCCTGGGTTGAGTCCTGAGCTAAAATATTATAAGAGAAGTATTTTCCATTCTCAACCCCATACTTGAGATCTTCGTAAACAATGTCGATTTCATCTTCCATCTCCATTTGTCCGTGATCACCATGGAATTTGTTGTCATTCATTGAGTTGAGGTAGGTAGAGGCGTCAGTACCAAACATGTCTGCCCCTTGTCTAGCACGTTCCGAAAAAAATGGCTTCACATCTTGGTTCAAATCTTCATCACGCATATAGTTTGATAGGTTTTCTTCATTATCAACCTCACACTTGAGATCTTCGTAAAAAATATCGATATCATCTTCCATCTTCATTCGCCTATGATCACCAATGCTTTTGTTATAACCGTCGCCATCCATTGAGTTCAAGTTGTTAATGGAGTAAGTATGAAACATTTCAGCATCCCGTGGTTCAGATTTTACCAAGTCACTATCAAACATTGCAGACTCACCATACGTTACAGCTTCTTGTAATTCTGCCTTCACAAAATTTGATTCGAGAGACATTTTGTAATAGTTTCGATAATTTTCTGAAAGAAAATTTTCTAAAACACTCAATCGCCTACGAAAATGTAAACAGAATTACTATTATAATGGTACTACGTTCACAACGATTAATCGTACTGACTATCTTTTTGACCTGGTCCTCTATATATATTAAAATGAATGGAATCTGAATTGTCATTACCACCAATCAGAAATGAGCTCATTTACAGGTAGAGTACCTAAATGATTTCTGAGAAGTACCAATATTCACTTCAATTATGGTGATTTAATGACATTTCAGTTAACCAGAGGCAAATCTTCAACGAAATCATTAATTTGATTGCTAAGGAACTGTAGATATCTTTCAGCAGTCATATGCCCGGGCAGCAATTGAAACCAAATCGTACGTAAAAATTTCCTTCTTGCATCAGATGTAAATTTGTTTGAGACCAGTACCTTTCATTATTCCTATTGAACATACCGAAGTTGGTGAATCGGGTTTCATCTGAATAAATAATTTTAAATGGAAAACGTACATCTCCTCTGTATTCAGTCAAATCCCGTTGCAATTAGTCAATCTTCGGTTATGATCGTCATCGTAAAGATGTTGGTGTAGTTGGTACTTGAATTATCGATAACTATATTTCTGAAGAATTCTCCAAACGGACGAATAACTTATATCACACTCAGAAACAATTTGGTGAATGATGAATTCAACATTGGCCAACACATCTACTTCTTTTTCTTCACTGACAATGAAGTTATTGGCATTTTTTTCTGGTTCATTTCACATTTTTCTTTTCAGTTTTGGAAAATAATGCCGAGTGGGATGGCGACGATTAGGGAACCTCTGAGCATAACTTCGAGCTGCAATAGTTGTATTCTTTTTTGTTTTTCCTTAAATTAGCAACATGTCAATTTTCCCTTTCTGGTATATTTGGCCATATCTAATCATAAACTACACAATAAAATAAATCGTCAAAAGTGACGATTTTGTTTAGGTAGTCCTAGCAATAGCTTCAATTTTTTGTCACGGATAACTAGAATAACAGGACTTAGTACATAATTTTACGGAATACGTGTTATTTGTTATTAGGTATGATCGTTTCTTGCAATCATCCAGAAAAATAAAGTGTGTGGCATTGAATTATTCCTAAGAAAGTGATCTTTCACAAAAAGCCAACAAGCCACATCCTTTCCATTTAATAAAATCAAGTTGACTGGAAAAATTCATATTTGCGACTGCGAAATAATTCTTGACACAACTGTGAAGTCATAAGCCTTAAAGTCGTAGTTTTTCCATGTTACTTGATCAAGAATGAAGCGATTTACAAGATCCACGGCAGTCTAGATCAAAAAATATAAATTGGAATAAAATTAATTTTATTTGTCAAATATTGACAAGTGAAGTATTGCTGGATTTAGAATGTCATTCTCGATAAAAATAAGTGAAAATATATAGGATGTCCCTTTTAAAAATAGCAAATTGGCGTCATTTCCGGTCAAACCGGAAGTACGGCAAAGCAAGTAAATATGTCAAAAAATGTAAATGGAACCATAATACACAATCACCAAATTATTACGACTAGATGCCTTTACCTAACTATTCATCATTTCGTCTGTAAGTGATAGCCGTATAGAAATCGAAAGAAAATTATAATCCTCTGGACGAAACTGTCTGAATTTGTTATACAAGTTACGAATAGTGTGCCTGGTTTTAGGTGAGTTTCAGATGCCATGATGAATCATCCAGGTTTTAGTTTTATAATTCGACAAAACGCTGATAGCTGACAGCAGAAAATTCAACGGACATCGGACATTCTACCCTAATTTTCGAACTAATCCTGTTACACCTGGCCCCCAACGCGGGGCATTATAAAGCAAATGGCCACAATTCAATGTGTATACGCGACATTATGGTTGGTTTTAAAAGCAATACTCACACCTTTGTTGTGCATAAAATCTGAAAGATTTGTAGTGAGTTGGCCTAAGTAGGTTAAGGTTCCATAACTTTTATCTTCTTCTCTTCGAATTGGGTAAACTTTTTTCAAAACTTGGCTGAATATCTATTTTGATAATGAAAAATGTATTAGACTGCTATCGTTATCATTGTTGACGGCTATTTGTTTCATTATGTTCAGTTCTTTATTGAAAGTCGCCTCTCACAAGATCAGATTTATCAGTATGTGAATCATATTGTTGAAAGCTGCTACATTGTGCTGATACGGGGGATGGACGAATCACTGCATTGCATTATACGCATTGATCAAACATGAAACGGACTGGTTCAAGTTTGACGATAGTCGTGTCACTAAAATTCAGAAAATATCTTGAATTTATTGTAGCCTCTGGATACACCCAACAGTATATTATATGAAAGAGAGGACATTGGCGAATCAAGATCTTCAGATGAAGATGATACTCATCGTACAATTCTTAATCCATTCTGGAATTGCAATGGACCTCAGACTTTCTACTTCTGGGAATGAGACCACATACCAAATGATTCACCACCCTATAGTTGGAATTATTCCTACTAGTATTTCGTTTATGTCACTCTAAGTCAGTTGTACTCCGAATATTGCGTTGAGCAAATAGATAGTGACTGTTAGCAAATCTCCAGTTTAGTATTTTCAATTGAAAATATTGATCATTTCATTACGAGATGCGAGTACTCTACAGACTATGTTACCTTTTTCTTTATTTCTTCGTGACATCGTTTAATTTAAACAGGAAAACTTCACGAGAATCAAGTTTCGAGCAATAAAGAAACAAAAGATGCCGAACGAACAACATTTGAACAAGTATGATGAAACTGATTTTTTTATTAAAAACATATAAGTGAGTTGATATCTGAACATAGAAAGGATGTTAATCAAATTTCAACCATAGCTTCTAGGTGAGATAATTCATACCATTTCAAATGAAAGAATCATGAAGAATGACGTATCTCGTGAACATTCTAACTACTACCATGAATGAAGGATTTTGAAAAGATTTTTCCTCAGTATGACTTTTTTCATGAGATCTCAAAGAAGAAATATGTCTGAAAGTTTTTGGACAGACTGTCCATTGGAACGGATTTTCCCCGGTATGACTTCTTTCATGAACTTTCAATTCACCACGTCGAGTAAAAGATTTGGAACATGTTCCTTACTTGAATGGTCTATCAGTAGGTTTTCTTTCACTTCGAGAAAAAAATTTCGAACAGACTGTACAATTAAAATCTGAAATATTTGTAGTGAGTTGGCCTAAGTAGGTTAAGGTTCTATAAGTTGTATCCTCTTCGTTTCGAATTGGGTAAACTTTTTTCAAAGCTTGGATGAATATATTTTTTGATAATGAAAGATGTATTAGACTGCTATCGTAATCATTGTTGACGGCTATTTGTTTTATTATGATCAGTTCTTTATTGAAAGTCGCCTCTCACAAGATCAGATTTATCAGTATGTGAATCATATTGTTGAAAGCTGCTATATTGTGCTGATACGGGGGATGGACGAATTATTGCATTGCATTATACGCATTGGTCAAACATGAAACGGACTGGTTTAAGTTTGACGATAGTCGTGTCACTAATATTCAGAAAATATCTTGAATTTATTGGAGCCTCTGGCGACACCCAACAGTATATTATATGAAAGAGAGGACATTGGCAGATCAAGATCTTCAGATGAAGATGATACTCATCGTACAATTCTTAATCCATTCTGGAATTGCAATGGACCTCAGACTTTCTATTTCTGGGAATGAGACACACATACCAAATGATTCACCACCCTATAGTTGGAATTATTCCTACTAGTATTTCGTTTATGTCACTCTAAGTTAGTTGTACTTCGAATATCGCGTTGAGCAAATAGATAGTGACTGTTAGCGAATCTTCAATTTGGTATTTTCAATTGAAAATAATGATCATTTCATTACGAAATCCGAGTACTCTACAGACAATGTTACCTTTTTCTTTATTTCTTCGTGATATTGTCACGAAGGAATAAAGGAATAAACAGGAAAACTTCACGAGAATCAAGTTTCGAGCAATAAAGAAACAAAATATGCCGAACGAACAACATTTGAACAAGTATAATGAAACTGATTTTTTATTAAAAACATATAAGTGAGTTGATATCTGAACATAGAAAGGATGTTAATCAAATTTCAAACATAGCTTCCAGGTGTGATAATTCATACCATTTCGAATGAAAGAATCAAGAAGAATGACGTATCTCGTGAACTTTCAAACTACTACCATGAATGAAGGATTTTGAAAAGATTTTTCCTCAGTATGACTTCTTTCATGAGATCTCAAAGAAGAAATATGTCTGTTTACATGTTCACTACAGTATATTTTTTCATTATTATATGAATGAATCACCGTTTGCATAATATACTACTCTATTACTCAGCTGAATTTATATTCTTTTCATTATAATTATCATCGCAATTCACTGATGGAAAACTGACGTTCGAGTATTTTATTGTATTCCAGAAAATTCCATGATGTCTTAGTGTGTTCTTTAGTGTTTTAAAATTATCTAGTATATTCCAGACTCATTCCTGAATATCCCACAGTACTCCAGAATGTTTCCAAACGTAAAATATAAACGATATGAACTGATTGGTTTTCAGATTATTGAATATGATGTTTCGAATAGATTCAACTGGAAAAATGATGACTACAAAAGTTTTCAGCATATTTTTTCAAATTAGATATGATGCTTGAGGTTGAGGAAAACCCACATACATCGAGTAGGCACGCATTTACTGCATTCATAGTTAGCCATCGATAGTAAGCACATTGAAAGAAAATAAAACGCATTCTGCAAAAGGTTAATGTTTGGGCTGGGATTGTAGGAAATCACATCATCCGTCCTTTTTTCATAAAGGGCAAGTTGAATGTCGACAATTATTTGTCACTACTTCGAAGTTATGCCATTGCAAGTATATCAAATTCATATCCTGATTCAGAGAACCCCCAAGTTCCAGTGAATACGATATGGTTTCAGCAAACAGACCACCAC